GGGTTATGCTTTAATTAATAAAAGCGATCATCATGTTATGCTTTAATTAATAAAAGCGATCATCATGTTATGCTTTAATTAATAAAAGTGATCATCGTGTTATGCTTTAATTAATAAAAGCGATCATCATGTTATGCTTTAATTAATAAAAGCGATCATCATGTTATGCTTTAATTAATAAAAGCAATCATCATTTTATGCTTTAATTAATAAAAGAGATCATCATGTTATGCTTTAATTAATAAAAGCGATCATCAGGTTATGCTTTAATTAATAAAAGAGATCATCATGTTATGCTTTAATTAATAAAAGCGATCATCAGGTTATGCTTTTGTCAAGTCTTCCTTTATTGGATATTAAGTTTTTCTTCTCATTTTCCAATATTTGTCCTTTTTCTCAGTTGTTAACTTCACTTTTAAATGCCCTCCCCATGGCTTGATGGTAAGTTTGAGGTCTTTTAACAATATAAATCAATTGGCACAACACAGATAGCCCATCGTGTAACTTTGTGCTTAACAACAGCCGAATTACTTTTCAAGTAAGACTTTGTTATTATTACTGCGATGTGAAACTCAAATCTTAGGACTTCTGATATAATTTTTTTTATAGAAAGCAGGTAGAAAGTATCACAAACTTAAAATAAGATATCTGAAAAACAACAATCTCCCACCTTTGATGATTTCCCCCTCCCTTTGAGGGGAGAAGCAATTCCTCCTCGTTGTATGGTGATGCGAGCCTGATCCCCACATTTACACTCTTTTAACACTGTCACTACGTCGGCATGAGGCAGTTCACGTACATCACGGTTATTTATTTCTACTAAAATGTCACCCTCTTGTAACAACTTGCATCGAGGCCAATCCAGAATTTTTTTTACCTACCAGTATTAAACATAACACAAGCTGGATTCACGATATTAGGAAAACATGTAGGTTCAAGAAATTCATTTAACACAAAAATAAGATACCCTTTCAAAAGCACTCGGGTTATACGGTATCACACTTTTGACTTACAAGCTGGACATATTCTACTCACTTTGGAAAGTTGCATTTTAACCTATATGAATTGATGATAAAAAAGTTTCAAACGGCTCACGAATCTTTTTGCAACCACAGAAGTTTCATAAATAGTTTTATTAAATTCAGTCTTCTTCAACAAAACTGAATCTCAAAAAAATATATTTTACTATTTCTTGGATGATGCTTCCAAATTCAGTGTGGCTTGATTTGGCTAAAGACAAACACGAGTGAATTTAAAACAATTACCTAGATCTAATCTTCTATGGGCAGGGTGTTTATGACCAAGTATACAATCTATGGCTTGATTGAAATCTACCCATTTTCTGAATGAACAACATGTTTTTTTGGTCTTTACCCAATATTTGACTATAATTCTGCACACAGAAAAGTCTGCCAAAACAAAGATTTTTACGGTTTATTGGAAGTATATTTTATATAAAATCAAACAATTTTATTTCAAATAGCATAATAAATAAGCACCTAAATCTTTAATATTTCTTTTAAATATATGCAGTCTCAAAAATCATCTCTATTTGTTGCAACTTGAAAAATACAACATTTATATGTATGACCACAAAATATCGCATTTTAAATTTTCATAATCCACTTTCTTGTTTTTAAAACATTAATTATCAAACTAGTTACACAAATATTTGAAAATTATAAAAACTATCAGTAAATGAATATTATTTATTCTTCATAGTTTAGATTATGTCCTGGAAATAAACATCTCACCTTCTGTCCATAGGAGCTGTCAGCAATAGTAAAACCAAAACCTCCACTGCCTTTCACAATATCTACTGTTAAAAACTCTGGTCTGTGTGAACTTTGTGGGTTAAAATCCAGGATATCAGGAGTGCTATCCATTCCATTGGGGCTTAAAAGGTCAGTACTATTGTGTCTCTGAGGATGTTGGTGGTCAACCTGACCTGTACTGAGGTCAGGCATTGACTTAGCAGACCGTCCCATTGACTCTGCTTCCACAACATCCCCTAAAAACTGAGAGTTGTCTATCTTTGACCCTCCTTGGCCAGAGGAATAAATACTATGGCCATCAGCAAACTGTGTGTTACTGGACGATACAGCAACTGTGGTCACTATTTCTGTGTTCGGGTCATTAGGGTCAAATAGCAAAGGGTATCCCCTACAAACTTCTAAGTGGACAATGTTTCCTGGTGGTATGGATTGGAATAATTCTACCATGTCCTGATGTGTGAATCCCAAGACACACCTGTCATTCATGTACACCAGTATGTCCCCTAAGGCATGGTTAAACAAATAGTCATTGAAAAACAAAACAAAACGTAGTTAAAGAATTGTTTCACAACATGACCACTAACACTGTCTCTAAAACAGTTCTTACTACAGTTTAGTTCATTACAATCAGAGAACATCTTCAAACTTATAGTTTAGTTCATAACAGTCAGAGAACATCTTCAAACTTCACTAAACTAGAACATCTGTACCAAGTACAAGTGTCTTTCCTACATTTTTAGTGTTTGATATTTCATTAAACATACACATTTAAAAAAAAACATCATACATACTCATGTCATTATAAAAAAAAGTTGTAAACATCCATGAGACTAATAATGAAGATATGATAGACACATGATTACCAATCATTACACTCGAAAACAAAATCTGAAAAAGATTAACACAGCTGGTACTTTAAATGAAGATATATTTTGGTAGTTGCTAGCCTGTATATAAAGGTACTTTAAATGAAGATATATTTTGGTAGTTGCTAGCCTGAATATAAAGGTACTTTAAATGAAGATATATATTGGTAGTTGCTAGCCTGAATATAAAGGTACTTTAAATGAAGATATATTTTGGTAGCTAGCAACTACCAAAATATATCTTCATTTAAAGTACCTTTATATTGAGGCTAGCAACCTAAATATATATATATATATATATATCATATATTCACCAAAAACTACAATTTACACAAACACAGTAATTACAATACAAATTAATTTTTTTTAAAGAAGTCTGAATATTTTCAAGCATTTTTAAGAATTTGTCTTTTTTTTTTATTCTTGTCAGTAATAAATTAAAATTGTTGGAATTGGTAAATAAAGGTCTGTTTGTGATGAGAAAAGAAATACCTGTTGCAGTATATTCAAAAACAATTACAGATAGAAAGTCTTTAAGGCCTACCAGTTTGCAGTCTGCCATCTTTCCAGGCAGGGCTGTTTGGCACAACACTTTTAATCTGTAAAAATTCTTCTGGATTATCACCTCCAACTATCGTAAATCCAAAACCTCGAGTACTTTTCAAGAGGGATGTTCGTAAGATTTCTCCTCGTAGCTCTGATGGATTGGATGTGAAAACATAAGGTAATCTGTATCCTACTGCACTCCCTACATAAAAACACAGAAAATTCATGACGATTGGCAAATATGGTCAAAGTTTACCCGATATTTCTCCAGTGGTATCAAAACTGTTTTAAGTCTAAGGAATATTTTACCACATTTGAAAACATTCTGATGTTCAAAGTTTGTTTGTTGAATTGTTTCTAGTTATTCCCTTAACCATGAACGTCAAGATGGATATCAAATCATGAATAATATTTGAAAGAATCAGAGGGTGAACATATGTTTGAATGGACCTCAGTGGCTAAATGAATGAAAACTGTAATAAATCATCTAAAACTGGACCAGCATCCACTTCATAAAACAGGTATATATTATTTAACCAAGCTCATAAAGTGTAAACTAGCCAAAATTTTCTCTCATCCATCAAATCAAGACTCTGAACCATCTTTTACCCAAAACTTCCAACTTTAAAAGATGTAGTAAAAGACCACTATGTTTTCTAAGCAGCAAAAACTGGAATATCTAATGTTTTTGTCAAAAATAAACTTACTTACAAAGGCAAAAGATAAAATGTATTTTAAGAACTTCAGATCCTAAGGTACAATACACTCCTGGATAATGGCTGGAGACGGCTTGAATGGGTAATGAAGAAAAACTTTAATATAAGTTTTCTTCATTACCCATTCAAGCCGTCTCCAGCCATTATTAGTCTCAAAGTGGGTTCCTCGTCATCGAACACTCCTGGATGTATCACAGAACTTTGTACATTGTTTAACTAACATAAGATCTACGTAACCACCACTACTACTGTTATAGTATACTATAACTGTTATACTACTGTTAAAAAGACAAATGTTACAGTTGAAGGATAATCTCAATGTAATGTTTGAAACAACGTAGATTTTATTGAAAACAATCCACTTACAAATATCTAATCACGATAGAGTGAGAAGGAATAAGAACGACTCTAACTACTACGTGACACCTGTATAACTGATAGAGTGAGAAGGAATAGGAATGACTCTAACTACTACGTGACACCTGTATAACTGATAGAGTGAGAAGGAATAAGAATGACTCTAGCTACTACGTGACATCTGTATAACTGATAGAGTGAGAATGAATAAGAACGACTCTAGCTACTACGTGACACCTGTATAACTGATAGAGTGAGAAGGAATAGGAATGACTCTAGCTACTACGTGACACCTGTATAACTCTTTCAACAGCTACTGCTATTATGGAATGTCACACAACTTACTGCTTTAGTAACTAAGTTAGCGAACAAAAGTAGCAACTAGAATAATCTATATATTTAGTTTTATTAATAAGTTAGTGGGCCCTTAACTGTAAAGTTGATGGATATTTGTTTATTCTGTTCTCATCAGTATTAGAGAAAATTACCATAACTTACAGCAGTCAATGTTATACCATACTATGTTTATAAACTCATGGTCATCAGTAAATAATATGATGTACAATCCTCCCCTATCTACAGGTAGGTAATGTCAGTAATGTACAATCCTCCCCTATCTAGAGGTAAGTAATGTCAGTAATGTACAATCCTCCCCTATCTACAGGTAAGTAATGTCAGTAATGTACAATCCTTCCC